CCAAATAGTCACTCCTTATCAGAACATAGACCAAGCTTCAGGCAGAGCCAAGCAGTTAATAACATTCCAACCACAAATAGTCAAAGTATACACATAAGAAACAAGGACAAGTGGGCAGGGTATATATTCAGAAGTGCTTGGTTATAGTTACTCTTCACCAAATAAAATCATTATGCTCTCAAAATGACTGTCCTTCCTTATGTTCTCATTCTTTGTAATTGTTTTGATGTTTCAAGACAAACTTCTATACAAAGGTAAGGTCACTTATTTAATTATTTATTGCTTATATTCAAATAATATACACACACACAACAGATTTTATTGTGGCACTGTGGGTAATTGTGCCAAACTGCAAAGCCATTTGAACTGCAAGGCTGGCAGTTCAAGTTCACCAGCTGCTCCTCAGAAACCCTATACAGGGTCGCTACGGGTCAGAATCAAGTCAACGGCACTTAACAACAGCAACAATCCTTACTTCAAATCTGGAACTTTTTATATTTTATTTTAATCATTTATTTCATTTTTGTCTTAGGCAGAGTAAAAATATCTCATTTCACAAAAACTGGCAATGTTTCTAACTAGAAATATCACATTCCACTTCTTTAACCTTTTCCACCATCTCAATGTAGGTATTTGTCTTTATTTACATAATTAATGTGAAGTATAAATGCAGACATATATCTATTATTGTTTCCTACAAATTGCTCAAGCATCTAGCTACATAATAAAAAGAAAATTGTCTATATTTTGAGGCTCTATCAGTTGTTTGAGAACATGTGAAGTGTGAACTGTAGCAGTCTTGCTCTAATTTTCAGACGCTACTGAAGGTGGGTAAGCCCAAAACTATTATTGTCTCTCATGGTACATTCTGTTGAATTGTAAACTTAATTCTGAGCCATTTCTACTCAGTGATTATGTCAGGATGATGTCCTAAACAAAGTGACTCTAAGACACCTACTCAATCTCAATGTTTTGCTTTGTTTTTCTAATCTCTTTTACAACATGGGCTTCTAAGTACAGGATGATATGTCCCAAGTCAGTACAACTTTAGATCTCTGTGCTCACAAGATACATAGAAGAAAATAAAGGACATTTTATAGAGTACAGGTAACATCTCAGAATTCTCATATTAAAGATTGGTTAAACCTACTACATATATAATTATTTCATGCTACTATGGTGATCTTGTCCCTGGGTAGCATAATAGGGTACACACTCGACTACTAATGGAAAGTTTGGAGGTTTAAATCTACACAGACGCTTTGGAAGACAGGTTTGGTAATATGTTACCAAAAGGTCGCAGCCTTGAAAATCCTCTGGAGCACAGTTCTACTCTTCACACATAGAGTCAGCTTGAGTCAAAATTAGCTTGAGAGCAACTCATAATGGGCATTATGTGACTACATGGAAGAAATCCTCTGATTTGGAGATGGAATGCAAGCCATAAAGCTGTCCTAGAGTGAGGAGGGGGTCAGCAACTTATATTTTCCCAGTACCCTCCTCAGGGCTCCCATGACCTCTTTATTCCTCAGGCTGTAGATGAGAGGGTTCAGGGCTGGAGTGATGATTGTGTAGAAAACAGAGATGATGTTATCTTGCTTGGGACTGTGGAAGGAACTAGGCAGAACATACATGAACGTTGCAGCTCCATAGAACATCCCAACCACAGCCAGATGGGAAGAGCATGTGACCAGGGCTTTCTGTTTCCCCTCATTTGAGGACATGTGAAGAACAGTGTTTAGGATTAATATGTAGGAAGAAGAAATGACAGAGAGAGGGAGCAAGAGGAAAGTCACACCCGTCGCATACACCATGAATTCATATTTGGATATATCAGCACAGGCCAACTTCAGCAGAGGTGGGATCTCACAAAGCAAGTGCCTGATTTCCCGGGACATGCAGAAAGGAAAGTGCATAGTATACAAGGTGTGTCCTAGAGAACTCAGGGATGCTAGGATCCAGGATGTGGCCACCATGAGCCAGCAGACCCTAGGTCTCATGAGGACCATGTAATTCAGAGGATGGCAAATAGCCACATACCTATCATAGGCCATGAAGGCCAGCAGGAGGTCCTCTGCACCACCCAATGTCAATGCCAGAAACATCTGAAGGGCACAGCCTCCAAAGGAGATGCTGTTTTCTTGGAGCAGAAAATCCACAAGGGCCTTGGGAGAGACCACAGTTGTAAAAAGGAGATCCATGAGTGAGAGCTGCCCTAGCAGGAGGTACATGGGCACATGGAGTCGGCTATCCATTGTGATGACCAGTAGCAACAGGCCATTGCTGGTTAGAGCCAAAATATATAGGACGGTGATTGTGGTACAGAGCAGTTCAGGAAACCAACAGTCGTTCAGAATGCCCATCAAGATGAAGCCACTTCCCAAAGTGGAGTTCCAGAGCTCCATTCTGCGTGGTTTCTTTAGTTGCTTAGACCTAGATGGATTTTCAGTGAAAGTCTTGCCTTGGTGTCCATCCTAACTTTGTCTTGTTCTGTCACTGAAAGGTGGCCAGTTAGAAGGTCATGGCATAGGAACTTTCCTCTTGGCGACTAAGTTTGCTCTTCTGATTTCTGATTTTTTTTTTTATTTTATTGAATTATGAAATCGCACCAAATAAATGGGGAACTGGTATATTGGTAATAACAAATCATTTAGAAATCTGTGTAAATAAGAAGTTCAAGAGCCTAAGTGCAAACAAACCTCTGTGTAGACAGATACATGTTCTCTCTTTATAGTAGTAAAATTTACTAGGAATTAATTAAAAACTCCTAGGTGAGTCTCTGCTTAAAACATACTCAGGATCCCAATTCAGTTTTACACATGTTATTTATAACACAACTCTTTGACATCTTGTCCTCTAGTTGTTATGTCTGTCTTGACTTTTCCAGATCATTGTTGTCAACAGTTCCCTCAACATAGGAACATACTGACTCTTGAATCATGTGTTCTCTTGCACTCTTGCATTTTCCTTACACCCTTGATGTGCATACTAGTACTCTGCTTGCAGTGAAAATAAATTCTGGCTATCACTGTATGATCAGCCAGGTGGTAAAGATTTTGAAGATAAATCTGTGGGAACAGCACAAAAGATGTTTGTTTATTTACAGGAAATGATGGCAAGTTTGTTTGGGAGGAGATGTAGACCAAAAAAAATTGGTGAAATTTAGAAAAGTATGGCAAGTTTTTTTTTTGTTTGTTTGTTTAGGGCATATTATAAATGTAGTGAGCTACCAAAGTTACCCTGCCACTTGGGACTCTGAATATAGAAAGCATATACCTGTATTTCATCACAAATGAAAGCAATAGGAAGGACTTGGGTCCACTGATTCCTGAATTCATATGGTAGTAATAAATTCATGGGGGCGAGGGATTGAAGTTGAGAGCAAGTAAAGTTGTGAAGTTCGTGGGGCTACATTTACTTACCTTCCTCTGTGTGAATGAGAGTTTTTCACAGTTAGATGAGGAGCTTACGAAGCACTCTGGAGGAAAAGAAAATTCATCATCTTTCCTTTGTATCATCTGAACCTATTCTGTTTATGTTGCCACCCTGGTCAACACAGAATTGGGGCATTTAATTGGTAGACTCACAAAATCCTGAAGTTGAAAAGCCCATCTGATTCAGCTGCTCTTTTATTCATCCAATACACAGTTGCTAAGGACCTACCTGTTCTAGGGCTATTTCACAGATGTGAAAACGTCATCACAGAAACAACTGCATAGATCCAGTGTTGATTTTTGATATATAAAAAATAAGCTATGAATCCTTATAAGTGAAATTTTAAGAAATAAATCTACAAGTAAGTAACAAAAAAAAAAGCTTTAGATGAATAAAAATTAGCTAGGTAAACAAAAGTCATTACACCACTAATTGGGAAAAATCATGTGAAAGTTAACGCATCTAAAATATAGTGCAAGAATCTTCTCTCTGTTTAAGAAAGTAAAAGTTAACGCATCTAAAATATTCTCTCTAAGCAAGAAACTAACCAGGAAAATGCACTCTTTAAAATTTTGTCTCATTATTTCTTGGGGTCTAAAAGCTTTCACTTGCTTCATAAAACCAAAACATTAACTGGCACACTGACTTTGCCTATTGACAGTAACAAAAAGACAAGTTCAAAGATGATTCCTATCTCAGTGACTGGTAAACATGAGACTTGAAATTTGTTACTCTTTTGTTTTCAATAACATGATGAATGGATGAAAGAAGGAAAATAATTAGCTGGCATTTCTCTCTGGATTTCTGCACGAGGAGTTTGGACAAGATTTCAGAGCAGGAAATGCACAGAGTAGGTAAGCCTGTGTAATCAGGAATCATGATCCTGTTCATTTGCCTTCCAATCTCTGATCCAAGATGCCTACTTTCCCTCCTTTCCTGTCCTCTCGTTCATCTCCTCTAGGGCCATCTTAAAAGCAGCATCAACAAACATGCACTAGCACCACACTTCTTGCTCTTAGAGTCACAGAGGAAGAACCCCCTTTCTGGAAAGCTGATGACACATGGGTACCTCCAATCAAGAGAAGTCATCAGAGACTATGATTGACAAAGGGACATTGCTGAACTTCATGGACAGTGGTCAAACACAGCCAGTTAACAACATGGAACACAAAATGTGGAAACATTTCTATAATTTTTTTATATCATTGCTCAATAAAAATTTCATTGATTCAACTAGCTTTGTCTTTGGCTATAATAGGACTTTAGTGTCAAGTCGGCTATCCATTGTGATGACCAGTAGCAACAGATATTCAATGATGAGGCACTTCAATCAATTCTAGATGATCCACTTTGGGGTATTACCCATCTGGGGCACAGCCAGACTATTAGAGGCCAGAATAATTCAAATGTGACAAAAGTTAAGTTGTTGTTAAGTGCTGCCAAGTTGATTTTGATTCATGGAGACCCTATGTAGGGTTTCTAACTCTGTAAATCTTTATGGAAGCAGAAGGCCTCATCTTTTTCTTGTGGAGGATGATAAGCTCAAAATGCAGACCTTGTCTTTTACCAGGAGGCCAGCATCAAGAACTAGAGGAGCACAGTCTCATGCTGTCTCTATGTACAGCTTGCCTAGACTAGAGAAGGCAGTGGATAAGCTATAAGCCCAAGACACTAGAAAATAGTGAAAGCAGAATAGTGTAAGGTCTTGACCCTTTTTCTCAACACTTCCAGACTCCACATGTTCCTTGAAACAGGGATAGAGTCTTTGCCTCAGATGGAGAGGGGTACACTAATGGCCCTGAAGTTCATATGAGGGATGAAGATGTTCAAGAAGATATAGAAAGAAGACATGGTTCTTCTGTCACATGTTCTTCTTTTATGTGTGTATGGTTGTGGCTGATATCAGAAGTTAAAGATTCCTCTCTTTCACCAGCACTGCAAGTCCTCTCTAGGAATGTGTGTGGATACAAACAGGCAGATGAGTGACCTAGGAATCTAGCAAAAGCAAGGAGCTATCTCTTCCATACCTTGCTTAGAGAAAGCTCTCACAGCCTCGTAGTGACTCCAAGTGAGGTCAATAGTCCAAGCACTCAGCTTCTCAAATTTTCAAGTACGCATATTTCTATCCTGCTTGGCATCATGATCAAAGACGTGGGGTGGAAATAAGGGAGAAGTTGCCCAATGGTGACCTTCAAATACCCAGCCTCATTTTTTCTGGGGTAACAGTGACCCATGACCCTGTCTTGGGGAAGAATTCATAGTCTTATCCCCTCAGCTGAAATGACCTCCCCTGAAAATACTGCTCAGGAAAAAGGATTTTAATGAGTCCCCTGGGCATGTTTCCTGGTCTGGCAGCCTTATGACTTGTTTTGCCCAGAATGCATTGCCGAGGCTGTTTCTAAATCATTAACAAAACAAACAATGCCAATAATTGATCTAAGAAATGAGGGTCCCCTGGCCATACCTCTGTCTAAATTATTAAATGCCTCATGGGTTCTCTAAAGTGCTGCCACCTGACCCCCTCTGGGCCACTATTCTGAGATATTACAAACTGGAGGGAATTGGAAATCCAGTTTTTCTGTAAGTTTTAGGTCTTCTTTTGTTGATCTTGATTTAGCATGTAAGCGCTGATTTTTTGCATCATCCTATGCTTCTTGGAGTTCTGGTGTGGCGCTGTGGGTTAATGTGCCAGACTGCAAAGCCATTTGAACTGCAAAGTCGGCGGTTCAAGCTCACCATCTGCTCCTCATAAACCCTATACAGGGTCACTATGGGTCAGAACCGACTCGACAGCACTTAACAACAACAATGCTTCTTAGTTCTTTGTTCCTTCTTAGCCTCCCTTTTGTTTGTGTGCTTTCTTGTGCATTCATGCTTGTACATATTGTGTGCTCCCACTATTCATGACCACTGACCCATTGACTTGCATCTTTGATCTGCCTCTACTCATCACTTTAGCTTAAGCCATTTTCATCTCTCATCCAGTTATTTGCCATATCATCTTCACTTTCTAGTCTCTACATGACCATTCATTTCTCTAGTAAATGCTGAAAACTCCTGTAGGAGTTATCATATCATTTTACTTTCAAATTAAAAATAGATAACAAAATCAGGTTCTCCTGTTTACATTAGATATAAAAAAGAGTATGAGTGATTTAATTGTGTTACTTTTTGTTTTTTTTTTTTACAGTAAAAAAGAATAGACCTAAGGAAAACTGTTTCACAAGTCCAATAGAAGAAATGCTGCAAAAAAAAGAAAGAAAGAAATATTGCTAGGTGCCATCAAGTCAGTTTTGACTCATAGCAACCCTCTGTACAATAAAACAAAACACTGGCTGATCGTGCGCCATACTCACAATGTTGCTATGTTCGAGCCCATGCTTACAGCACTGTACCAATCCATCTCATTGAGAGTTTCCTTCATTTTCATTGATCCTCTACTTTACTAAGCATGATATTCTTCTCCAAAAACTGGTTCTTCCAGATAATATGTCCAAAGTATGTGAGACGAAGTCTTGCCATCCCTTCTAAAGAGTATTCTGGCTGTCCTTCTTCCACCATAGATTTGTCTCTTCTCTTGGCAATCCATGGCATATTGACTATTCTTTGCCAACACCAAAGTTCAAATGCATAGATTCTATTCTAATCTTCCTTATTCATCATCCAGATTCTGCAGGCATATGAGGCCATTGGAAATACTATGGCTTTGGTCAGGTACACCTTAGTCCTCAAAGTGACATCTTTACTTTAACACTTTAAAGAGGTCTTTTGCAGAAGATTTGCATCACATAATAGACCACTTGAAGTCCTGGTGTGGCTATGTGGGTCAATGCACTGGGCTGCAAAGTTGGTTTGAACCACAAGGTCAGCAGTTTAAGCTCACCAGCAGCACCTCGGAAATTCTATATAGGGTCACTACTGGTCAGACCCCGCTTGACAACAACAATAAGTCATTGATTTCTTGAATGTT